CTCCTTTTGGCAGAATGTTCACATTTATTAAGGCCTCTCCAGATGAAAACTCTGCCCTTTCCTCATCACACACTTCCCTTAGTTTATGCTCACTTTTGCTGATGGGGCAGATGTGTCATCACCCAGGTTGATGAATACACTGAATAACATAGGCAAGACAACAGGTATCTCTGTACCATGATCCAAATGCTCTAGAGCATCCCTAGAAATAATTTCCAGCTCTTCAGGTCCAGTACACAGGTCCTTCTCACACACGAGTCACTCAGCCCTGAAGCATGTATACAAGCTCATCTACTCAGTCTGTGAAACTTGAATTCAGCTTTCTATTTATGTCCAGAAGCCCTTTTGTGACTTACTGGGGTTTTCCAGTCTTCAACGGGTACTGGCAGCAGGCTTCTGAGTTGATTTGGGACTTACCTGATGCACATTGAGCTTTCCTTGATCTCACATGTTAGCACAACCCACCTACAAAACCTAATACGTCCAGTTCCCAGGACAACTGTGACCAGCCTCCTGAGAGAAATGCACCAATAACAAAACTGATTTCCTTCTTCCTCAAACATCTGCTCTGGCTGTACAAAAGAGGATTTTTTTTATGCCCTGAGTAGCTTCTAAATTTACCCAGATCAGAAGAGAAGCACAGTGTATATTTTATTAATAGTGTTGTGACAGCCTTCTGAAGTCTGTTCACAACAGAGCATTTCCTTCGTGAGGAATACCACATGGTATGTTACATGTCAGGGAAAAGTACCTGTTTTCAGAAGTGCTACCCATCTAGGTCTGCAGAATTCTGAAACACAAAAAGAGGGTTTTCTCCCTGTCTACCATATCTTTGAGGCAGATGCATGATCTAGAAGATGCCAGAACTCCATGAAGGAGCTAATGTCCCTGGCAAAGTCCTAGGTCATACCTATGAAAGCAAAGGAAAAACTTTCAGAGCACAGACCTGAGGCATTTCTAGACCTCTAAGAAATCAAGGCACTGATGTACCACAGGCTTAACTCAAATTCCAAACTGTTGTACTAACCCAAGGGTTTAGCTTGCCCTAACTCCCCATTCATAACCATTCTAGACAACAGAAAACACAGCTCCTGATCTGGAAAAAACCAGAAGTGATTTTGCTAAGAAACATTTCTCAAGGTAGGCATGCCCCTCAGATAATGCTTTTTACTTCCTTTCTCACCAAACAGCACCTCCTCTCACCCAGCCATTTTTGATAATGTGCTTCCAAATTATTTTGAGACCTGAAATGACCTTACTTTTACTGGGTTTCAGTTAATTTTATTTAATAGCACGTATCACACTAGGCACCTTGCACACAAGACATTATGAGTTAGAAGCAAGGGGCTCTCTTCAAATCCAAGCAGCAAGAAGGACAACAGACAGTTCTTCGTGCAACAACTTGGCTGACAGCACATCTCCGTCTGAGTGATGATCCAAAACTGGATCCTCCTCCAAAGGTGAGTTCTTTCATACAGTACATATAAGGCTGTGGTATAGACAGCCTTGACATGGCATTTGATTAAAAAATGTTTCATGCAGTCTGAGGACTTGTCTTAATTCCTTCTGAAAGGCAGAGATGCCTGAAAAAGCTGCGTCAACATGCGCAGCTGTCAGGGGAACGTGGAAAGGCATACCCATAAGAGTATGGCTGGAATAGGACCTTATGACTTTTTCCCCAAGTATAGCCATAGTAACATCCATGAATTAAGTGCACCTTTTCTCCTCTCAGGTAAGGGATTACCACAGAAAACAGACCCCTCTCCATGATTTGACCGACGGAAGTAAATACTCAGGTGGAACTCAATTTCTCTTCCCCCAGCACTCCCTGTGAAGAATGGATGACAGAGCAGCACTGCCACTCTGACCTTGACAGTTATCTCAACCATTCACTTCTGGAATGTTCAAATGCAGCATCTCCAGCCACAGCTTCTCTGGAGAACTCTTTCTCAAGCACAAACTAGTTTCTACACCTGATTGAAGCAATGATGCTTGGTTACAGGTTAGGTAAGGCAGCACAGGCTTGTTTCTGTGGCAGGACACACATCATTGCAGCAGCTACAGACTGATACTACAGGGAAAGTAAGGTCCATCTCATTCTCGGGATCCATAGAAATCATCATCTTAGCTACGTCTGTTGCTCTCACGCATGCACGAATCTCACTCTACACGTAGTCCATGACACAGTTTGTCAGATATTAACATCACAGAGAACTTCCTTCATACACACGTAGTTACACTGAGATATCAAATCTCCAAACAGGTTGTGGATAAGGCAAAGATACAACACTGTTCCCCTGGCTTTAGGTGCACGCACAGCCAACCAGAGACTCACACCACAGAGCACATCAGGAACTGGATTCCCAGGGGTTTTCTCTGAACCTCTGGCACAGACTTCCTGAAGACAGGACACTTATGAATATCACTACTAGCCAGCAGATGTGCTTGGCTGACAGGAGATGACAGCTTCTCATAAACATGCATTCGTTATCAGCACGCTCTTCCTTAGCCTCAGGTCAAGACTTCCTTCAAAAAGTCTTTCCAAAACTTGGCATAAAGGTTGCTTTCTTTCAGTCCTCACAACCACAAATCTGGCAAGACAGTGTTTTTGGAGGACACTATCAGCAGAAGAAACTTCAAGCTTGACTGAACCCAATTCTAACCACAGACAGCATGGAAACAGATAGACCATTAAATAATTAATTGAAATAATTAATTTTAAGGATTGCATTTTTTTTTTTTCAAATTAAACATCAGCTCAGAACAAATTACATGACAACTGCAAGCCCACAGAGCTCTCAGGGAGAAAGGAGAAGTACTGAATGAAAATACTAGTTATTTGAGACATCATACATTTCTCTTCAGGTTTCCAGAATGCAAAAGTTTGGATATACCAGTAACATGTTTTCTGTCTCTCCTACATTTCCTGCGTTCTGCTGGGGTATGCAAATTACTTCTCTCTGGGATTAACCCATGTTAAATACAGTCAGAAAGATTTAATCAGATTAGTCAAACTAAACAGATAGCCATCTCATGTTCTTCTACTCATCAGACAACAAAACCAACAAATAAACATAACAAACAAAGCAGTAAAGATTTTGAGGCCAATCAAACTGTAGTCAAAAGGTCTTCTTTAGAAGGTGCAGATACATAATAGAACTCACCTGGTAAATAAAAACTGAACCTTTAAAAACTCTCCAACAGGATGCCTTTGGATTTTCATTTGTCAAGTAAAGGGCAAAGGCAACACCTGAGCAATAAAAAAAACCCCAAACACAAAACCACATGCTTGAATATAGTCAACACAACCTGACCTCATGGAGGTTTGCAGGAAGACCTTCTCTATTTCTGTCTGCATTAGGACAAGATACCCAGATCTCAAAACACTAAACATCTTCATGGGTATATCAATCATCTTCTGTTGGCTCAATCAAATACATATTCAGAACACTTGCTCTATCATTATAATCAATTAAACCTCATTTTCAAAAGGGCATCTCTGAGAGCTCCTCAGGTTTCCTTTATAATAACATACGGAGCAGATATAACAGCTTATCAGTTGCGCCAAATACAAATTTGGCAAAAGGGTGTCTTATAAGTGCAAGGGTTCACAAACCCACTGTTCCTTACTTTAAGCAAGTCATCCAGTATTGTCCACTAAATCATCTCATTTGTTATGGCTAATCTGGAAAAGGAGATAGAATAAACTCCTGTCCTAAACACAGGGAGAAACCAGTCAACACACTGAAAACTCCATAGTTAAAATCACAAATGCTCATCACAAAACACCTGTGTATTTTGCTCAACACAGAGCAAGAAATTATTTGGACTAATTTGTTTTTCTGAAAAATTACTCAACTTAGAATGGATTCATACTAATGGGAAATAAAAGCTCCCAGCCCCTCTATAAGATACTGAAAACTTCCAAACAATAGTTTCTATGTCATTTCCTGTCTCTCTTCAGAAATGCTATTTAAGAAAAGAAAAATAGGAACACTTGCATGAAAAAAGGATCTTTGCATCCAACAGCCTCATCTTCCCCCACTGATTAATCTTTCCTGAGGGCCCAAAACAGGAGCTGCCAATAGAAAAGGAAAGCATACAATCAACTTAACTGGGCACAAGAATGACTTTTACTCCATAACGAGAAAAAGAGGACCTGCTCCACAAATCCAAGGAATGCACAATTGATCTGCACAAAGATGCGTGTTGATTGAGTCAAATCATCATAAATTAAGAACACATGGTCCCATACTTTGGAGCATTTTACAGAATGCACAGCCAATAAGTAGGAAATTGATGCAGATAAGGAGAATACACGGAAAATACAGTTGCATAACACTAGGACAAGGGGTTCAAACAGTCCAAACTCCTACAACAATGCTACCATTAACCACCTCCCTACATGACAAAAAAGGAAAAAAACCTATCAAGAATAGCAGTTAAAGGTTTACAGGCATCCTAGTGTCTCATTCTGATCACTGGTAAAAAAAAAATCAGAGCAGCAAGGAAGGAAAGAGGGAAGCTACATGAAGACGCAGCTTTACAGCCATCCTCCAAGAGAAGGAAGACCAAGAAGTCTGAATCTGATTGAGGAAAAAAGTCCATAAGCAAACTGATCAACTGTTTTTAACTGAAATAACACAATGCCATGCTTTGGCCATCCCTACTACATACACAAATTACAGCCTTGACATTGCCAAGCTGAGCAATACGCACTCCAACTCCCACTGCTCATATTTTTTTAATCTTCTCACATGACAATACAAAACACCTATATTTTAAAGTGAGGTCCAGAGCAGTATTTTTAGATATCAAGGCACATGCAAGCAAATTAAAAGCTTTCATGGCATTTACTGGTGCTTACCTAAGTATCTTCAGAAACATGGGTTTCCTTGCCAAAGTTTTCCAAACAATGACATTTCTGTTTCACAGCAGCTATAATATACATGGAAATTGCCATGCAACTAGAGCTCACATGTGCAATTGTCTTTTCTTACCAGTCATTATTCTCTGGGCTTCATATGGTTCCATGTAGCCAGTGTTCTCCCCTTTTCCCATTCTGTTCAACTCACTTTTGGCATCAAATGGATCTGAGTAGTCATCAGCTATCAATACCTGAAAGACAGGAAAGTGACTGTTACTGAATTCTCCAGTCAGATGTGCAAATGAGAAGGCAGCAACATCCTATCTGCAAAATAAAAAAAAACAACACCCCAGTTCCATACAGCTGTATCCTATATCATCTTCAAAGCACAGTCTGAGTTCAGAGGAGAAACACACAATTGCCACAGATCAGTTACTAAACAGTAAACTAAATAGAAGTGTGCTCCTGCTCACACCAGAAACCTAACAAAGGCAGACTCCATGTTGAAAAGATTTCTGACAAGCACAAGCTATAGAATAATTGCAATGGACAAATTAGAAAGAGTCAATCAGTCAGCAAACTCAATCCAGTGCAACTCCTATCAGAGAAGTTTGCTAATATTCAGAAAAAAAAAATCACATTTTCTCTTGCACATACTTCATACCCTCTGCTTTTTAGGTTTATCAGCTACAACTGAAAATATTGCTAGAAATTTTTCAAATAAATAGGCTACTATTTATCATTCAAATAAATAAGGTTACTATTTTCACTGCATTAATAAGGACCTTTGTAATTTTAGTTCTCAGTTGAAAAGAAACAAGACAGAAAACAAGCTTCTTGCCTAAATTTAAATCCTTGAACCCATTTGTGTCATTCTTCCTCTCAGAAAAACATTATATTTACTTATATTTTGTGAACTGAGACAAAAGGCAGCAAAAAGAAATTCCATCAGAACACGTTTTCCTCCTCTACCAGAAGACTAAAAAAATCTGAAGGTTTGAAAATCTCACACCTTACATTACTATGCTTTCTGAGCCCTGTAAAATCACTGAACGTGTAAGTCCCATAAATAGTTTTCTTTAATCAGTCAATTGAAGTCACAGGAACTATTCCTCTCTATAACTGAAGGGGTAGAGCTAATCTTCATTTCTGGAAGGTGACAAGGGGATCAGGGCAAGGGCAAAAATCCTCACATGAGAATTATTGCAGAGCACAGAGATGCAATGTACCACAGACAAGATAATCTGAAGCTAAGCAGAGGCAGACCTCAGCACCAGAATCCCCACAGAATCATAAAATAATTCAGGCAGGAAAGAACCCCAGGAGACCACCCTGCCCAACCCATCACTCAAAGCAGGGCAAGCCTAAAAGGCTTACTCTATTAAAGAGGAATTTTTCAACCCACCAGTTACTTTGCATCTTTAAGACCAGCGCCAGTAAGACTTAGAACAAACTGCTATTCCAACAGCTTCAATCTTTTCAACAAAGAACCAGGAGTACACTGCTAGCTAAGAGACTGAACTGCATCCACTTCAGTCTCCTGCTGCCAACATATCCCACCAGACAGAGAAGAAAAACAGGACACACAAGTATTTACAGATCAAACACCTGCACAAATTCTATGGGGAAAATGAGCACTGCGTAACTCCTTTAAAATTAGGGAACAAAACATCTAACACACTTCAGTGTCATTACTCAGGCCCTGCAACACTGCAATTTTATACTACTTATTTGCTTATTTCACTACTAGGACTCATGTTTTACCTATATTTTTTATGTGTTTTCCTCCAGTCAAAGTCTAAAGTGACCAGAAGTTTCTTTTTGACCAGAAATCACCAGACTGGCATGGCTCATAGAGGGAGGAAAATATAATCCTTTTTCTCACTTGGTGTCCAAAATTACTCCCTCATTACTATGAAAAGCAGTTAACACAAAGGGGAAAAGTCCCCTCCCCCCTGTCTAGCAACATATGCCCAAGCAGCAAATCAAGTGGCAGCAGCTGCACACACTTGAGACAAAGACAACAATGTGTATCACGCAGCAGTAATTTCTCCTAGTCACAAGGACAAGTTTATCTCCAAGTGATGCAGTTGAAATGCCATCCATGTAGCCTTCTGATCAGATCCTGTCAAGAGCTGCTAGGTGGTAGCATGGGCTCTGTACTGCTCTCCTATTGCAAACACTGACATGTAGTACTCACCAATCCTTAGCATAACTGCACTGAAATACGAAACACAAAGCAGTCTTAACACAGCTATTTTTGCCAGAAATTTACTAGGACGAAAATTATACATAAAAAAATGCTGTCAAACAAGACCACCCCCTCAGAAAGCAAAAAGACCCTCACTCAAACAACCCTCTCCCACAACAAACCCAAACCCATTTTTCAGCACTCAGTCAGGCGGAAAGAGCAGTCTGCTTCACCTTTCCTGAAACTGTGTATCTCCTTAAAGGTGGATTTACAACTTTGAGCTGTCAGAGGGCTTCCCAGCTGACTGTTACTGTTTCCATATATATTAAAATCTAGTAATTCTCAGCCTGGATACAGCAGCTGGCCAGTGTCAGAATTCGATTTCTTCTACACTTGCAAACAGCTATAAATTCTCTACTTCTATAAAGTCTGAAGTTATTCTACTTCTTTCAAAGAGAAGCCAAAGCTTGAAAACCTCAAATGACTATGCTTGTTGGTTCTGCTATAACATACCTACTTTAAATGTCTGAACTCCTTTTCACAATACCATTTCAGAATGTTTCTCCTATTTTCAGAGATGTCAGCCAGAAAAAGGATTCCTAATCTGCAAGTCCTTGTGCCACCCCCACATAAATTACTTTTACCTAAGGAGTTCATTTTCCAAGCCTATCTGCAGCAGGACAGACAAAGTACAGACAAAGACTTTTGATGAAATATAAGGTTCTGAATACATGAATTTTTCTAGTCATGGTACATGTAATAATCAAAACATTTGCTTCATGATAGGTGATATTGATACATTGTCCTCATACTCCTTAGTGCCATCCTCACAAAGCACATGCTTGCCACTGCTACACACAAGTTCTGTTCACAAAGTATTGCAGGTACATGCCTTGATTCTGCAGACCATCTTTATCACCTCAATGCCATGTAGGGAAGATCCAACGTGAGAACACTACACTGGCACCTCTCCCCCATGGCCACGTAGGAGCAGGTCTTTCTGTGTGTTGACTGAAGTGCCTCCATGCTCACCAGAGCTCATCCATTTTCCAGAAAGAGTTATTTATTGTGTGCTTTGTTTATTTTTCTCCCAACAACCTTTCAGCCGCTGCCCAGCAAACAGGTCTCAGTCAGCCATTTGTTTTCTACAGTCCAGAGGCCAAGGCCAGCACAGATCATCCCAGGTTAGGGCCTGCATGCAGTGCCCCTTTCACATCTTTGATTAAGTGCGCTTTCAAGGCAAATGACTAAACTTGTTCAGTTGGCCTCCAAGTTGATGTTTCATGTTAGTGACAAACACTGAACAGGAAAGAGAAGGGAACAGATGCCATCCATCATCTACCAATGCATCCCTCCCAAAATCTTGAACACTCAGACCATCCAGGATCTAATGCTGTACTTCACACATCTACCCTTGACACCACCAGAGGAATGGCAAAGTGTTGAGGTTTTGTAACTATCGCTAGAAAGAACATTCATACACAAGTTCTGACCCTTGGAGCAGGACACCTTTAATTTGCCTCCCTCTTCTGCCAAATCCAGCCACCTTCCTTAGGGGTCTTATTTATCAAAATGAAACACAGCTAACAGGAAACCCTAGAAGGACTCAGGCAGTCATTCAGACTCCAAATTAATGTTTAAACTGGTTGCATTTGTCAAGGCCATTTTCAAAGACCTGTGGTTTACCTCTTAACAGAATGCAAGATACCAGAGTGGACTGTGAGCTCCTACAGCTATTGATTCCTGCTCTATACAAGCCCATTCTATGGCACCCCATGCACATATGATACTATTTTCTATCAGGCACATTTAGTCATAGTAGCTTGAGGCATCAGTAACATCAAGCAAAGAAAATTCCAACCCATCAATAGAAGTGCACTGATCAAAAGAGGTCAACAAAGATTTAAGGAACACTTATAGGAGTACATCCCAGTAGGTTGTCTTTAAAACTCTGAAGACAAAGAGTACAGCTCAGTTACCAGACCAAGCTGACAAACTCAAAACCATAGCTCTAGCTAAAAAGTTAGCCAGCAGAAACAAGATCAAAAAAACAACCCCAGAAAATAAAATAGAAGCTGAGATTCTGGTTGGTTTATCCCTCTATTATATATTAACTTAGTTGCAACCTTCACTGTTGATGCATAGTCTTTGTTCTTCCACAGTCTTAAAAAAAAAAAAAGTCTTACAAATATTATCATATTAAATACAAGTTTAAGTGGATATTTGCATATACAAAAGAATGATTTGCATATACTGTCACAGGAAGAAACCAAGGAACACACCTATATGCTTAATTTCACAGGTATCTCTATCTGACTAAAAAACACATTTTAAAGGGAACAAACAAGAAAGAAACAAATGAGAACTTATCACACTGAAATAATCAGAGTAAACCCTTTTTTAACTGAAAACACAGAAGATCTAACTATCTTTAAAACAGCAACTTCAGCACAGAACTGTTTGCTATTTCACTGATTTAGTGACTATGATGATCAAGGACACACTGTTCTAGAAGAATCCAAAAGGAATTACGATAAACAACATGTAGCAAATAAACCTAAAAGATCTCTCCTGCCCACCAGTCCTTTTGGAGATTTATTATGGGAGACTCATTTGTGGGGGGGGGGGGGGGGGTTTTTTTTTTGGGGGGGGGAAAGATCTGTTATTAATAAATATTATTATTTTATCAATATATAGAATCACAGAATGGTTTGGGTTGGAAGGGTCCTTAAAGACCATCTAGTGTCAACCCTCCTGCCACAGGCAGGTATACAGTTAAATAAATATATAAAGACAGATCATATATTGGCCTTTTTGACGTCTTTTGACCTTTGTGATCAACAGTTAAGTCCAGCAATACCACAGACAAGAATATGTCACTGTCAACAGAGATACAGAAGACAACAGCACTTAGAAACTGTGAATATGTCTACACCATAGTTAACTGACACAATTTAACACAATGTAATGAAAATTCCTCATCCTCTTTGAAAATTCTTACTCAGAAAAGTCACTAGCTACAGTACAAGTCACTCTGTATTATTACAGAAACACAGAATG